ATGTGTTCAAAAAAGGCATTTCTTAGTGTTTTATTATAATCACAATAGAGTAAAAAATGTTTCTCATCCTCTAGTATTTTACATTTATGACAAAGTCGTTCCTCTCTTGGGATTTTAAAATATCTCCCCTTTTCAATTAAGAGGGAGTGATCACTTAGTCTAAATTTAGTGATCAATCTCCTTATCTGAAAATTAGATATATTTAGATAAGATTCTAGTTTGCAATCCTTTTTAAGTTTTTTATATAGATAAAATTTACTTTTATCATCAATGTTTTCAAATTTAGTTTCAATTAAATCTTCATATCTATTTTTCATTTTTAACTTTATATCGTTTTTTATTTTATTTACATCTTTTATGTCCTTACAATTAGAAAAAATATTAAGGTCAATATTAGTCTCTTCAACAATATTCTTTGCATATGTATACCATGAATAAGTTCCAGTCAAATCTAGAGACTGTGCTAGAGAAAAAGCTTCCTTTATCAATGGATTAATATTATTATTATATAGTCTAGCTAAATATAAAAGGGTTTGTGTTTTAATAAAACATTCTATAGGCAATCTTCCTAATTCAACTCTTGCCCCTAAATTGGATGCATTTTTTCTTATTCCTAGAGTAGATTTACAAAATTTAAGATGCATATTTTCAATAGGGGTTTTGTCTGTAAAATCAAGTTGATTAATTTGTTTTCCTGAAGATAAGGCTCTGTTTTTGGCTCTATGAAAAGAAATATATGTATCCAAATATGTTACTTCTGAATTATAGGTCATAATTGGTTTTACTAAAGAATCAAAAAGGTTATTTGCTACTTTTATAGGTAGATTATTCAATGATTTAGTATAGGATTTTATTGCAAAAAATACTTTTTTTGCCTTTTTTGTCAGCTCTAAGGTACTTTGTGATAAATTTCCATTACATTTTATCAACATTCCCAAAAATGAATATTCTGATACGCTCTCTATGGCTTCATTCTCATAGTAAATATGTGATGTTTCACCATTTTGTTTGGACTGACTGAAAATCATGGATTTTGTTTTTTTTGTATTTAAAGAGAGTTGCCATTTGTTGCAATATAATTTAACATTATTTAAACTGTTTTGAAGACCCTCTTTCGATTCTGACAGGATCAAAAGATCATCTGCAAAAAGGAGGCATCCCACCTTACTATTTATAAGCTTAAGGGGACTTGAATCATTTCCCTCAAAATTTTTTACAATATCATTTATGAAGACATTAAATAAAGTTGGGCTGAGGGTGTCTCCTTGTTTAACCCCTCTAGCAATATTAAAAAATTCTGATACATAATCTTTGTATTTGAAAGATGATTTAGTATTTAAGTATTGTTGTTTTATAACTCTGTAAAAAGACCTGCCAACTCCCATTTTGCATAATTTATAAAGTAAAGCAGTTCTCCATACTGAATCAAAAGCCTTTTTCAGATCTATAAAGCAGGCATAAATCTTTTTTTTCTCTTTATGTAGATATTTATTAATCAAGGACTTCAATAAAAAGATGCTATCAGCTGTTCTGTGATTTTCTCTGAAACCAAACTGACAATCACTTAATTGTTTGTCAACAATCTTGATTAGCCTATTATTCAATATGGCATTAAAAAGTTTTGGTAGATTACTTATAAGAGAAATTCCTCTATAATTATTAGGGTCTAACTTGTCACCTTTTTTATGTAAAGGGATCATGAAAGATAATTTCCATGAATCTGGATAATTACCTGTCTTTAAAATCAAATTAAAAACTTTTACAATAGAATTAATTATCACAGGTTGTGAATGTTTGAGTATTTCATTCACAATTCTATCTGGACCTGCTGATTTGTTTACTTTAAGGTTTGAAATGACCAGTTTTACCTCAGCAAATGTAATTGGTGCATCAGTTTCCATATTCAATTCAATATTATCCTCTAGAATGTTTAATTCACGTTCCAGTTTATTTACAAAGGGTTTATCATATGATGTTGGGGTACCCTGATCCTGAAAATGTTTTATGATTTTATTTTCATTCATTAAAATTTCAGGAATATCTTCTTCAATATTTGGTTTCTTTTTTATTGCCTTTAGATCATTCCAATATTCTTTTGGATTATTTTTAAAGTTATCTGAAAGTGATTTATAAAGTTTTTGGTGATATTCAAATTTTTTCTGTTTAATCATTTTTTTTAGTTTTTTACATAATTCAAAATATTTAGGTTTTAAACTTTTGTCATTTAAGTTATTCTTGATTTTATTTCCTATATAGTTTATTTGTCTTTTTGTTTCATATACTGTATTATCTGACCATACTTGTTTAATTTTTTTCTTTTTCTTTTTAGTTGGTTTAGATATGCCTTTACATGTATTTTCTGCAATATTTTGTAAAATTTTTGTAAGTTTTTCAGTTGCACCATCAACGCCTAGTTTATTGCTATCAAAATGTTGCATCTCTAAATCTAAAATTTCCTTTCTAACATTTTCTGTTGATAGAACATCAATTAATTTTGAAAATGACAATTCTGTCCATTTGTATGATTTAATCAAATGCCATCTCTTTTCATCTAGACATTTCTTCATACATGTATCTGATATAATAGAACAATTCATATATAAGTTTATTTGAACATGATCTGATAAATATGTAAAGTCATTTGTTTTAAAGTATTTTACCTCAGGCAGGAGACTCTCACTTGCAATGGCATAATCAACTGTACTGAACCCAGTATTACACATATAAGTAAAATATCCTAGGGAATCTCCCAAAAAACGGCCATTGAGTATACGTAGCCTTGAGGATGAACATAATTCAAGTAATTTATTCCCCAATGTATTCAAAGTGTTATCTTGGTTTACTCTTCTGATTTCAATATCAGTTATATAGCTCTCTGGAAGAAGGTCAATACCATCAAAATTATTTATTTCATCTGAGTCATTTTCTATGTAATCTGCTTTCATTGCAGTTCTAGAATTAAAATCCCCAATTAAAATAATTTGTCCTTCAATAGAAAATGAACTAATTTCATTTTCAAGATTTTCTAAGTCACTATCATAATGTGCTGATGAAAAAGGGGGAATATAAACAGCACAAAGATATATATCTTGATTAAGTCCAAAGAAATACTTATCAAGCTTTAACCATAATCTATTCTGGGATGACGTAGCATCTTTAAGATAAGAAATCCCCTTGTAAAATTGTTTTTTAATTGTGACTATAATGCCTCCACTATGTCTTTTGGCTTTTTTTGTTTTCTTTCGTATTTTAGAGATAATGTTATAGCCTTCAATTTTAAAATCTTCTGATCCCCCCTTCCAGGTTTCTAATAGTATATTTATATCTTTATTTAAAAAATCCAGAAACATTGGGTCTTTCATCTTATCCCCAAGGCCATGTACATTCCATGAGGAAATTGACAATTTTTTATGAACTCTGTTCATTTTTAATTTTGACTAGTGCCAGATATATATTAAACATTCTTGTTAGCCTGAAAACCTTCAATTATATTTAGACAGTTTGGTTAATGTTTCTATAAACATGATAGATTTAAACTGCAATAATAGTTCCAAATATTTTTTTTTTTTTTTTTTTAATTCATGACTGCTAACAATACAGCAGTCTAAGGGAAATAACTCTTTTCATTTGTTAAAATGAATATTACAAGTGTTCTGTAGAACTAACTGAATACTACAAGTGTTCTGTAGAACTAACTTTAACATAATAAATCACCCCAAAAAATATATATACAGATATTTTTACATTTCTTCATGAAACTAATATATTTTTCTAAACACCCATCACGAACATGTACAATGTATATTGAAAAATAAGCAATTTTATCTCATTACATGTACTTTTTTTTTTTTTAATCATCTTATTGTTGTAATAATACTAGTTAATCCTTTTATTATTTAGACTAAAATCTTCTTATCAAAACTTGAATATTTACATTCTAAAATGCAAGTGTACCTACATGTACATTTGATATTGCATGACTTAATACCTCATATTTCTCATTTCTTGGAGCATAAATTCCATCATTTCAAGCATTCTATCTCTGTTTCCATTACCCTCAACTTGATCTTTCCTATAGTTATTAGAATGATTACTTTGTGAAAACATGTTTTGGTTTTGATTATGACCATAGTAACTATTAAATTGATCTTTTTTCATATAATTACCACTAGGTTAATGTTATCGAGGAACATCACCGAGTCAGATGCTAAGTTATATCCGGGAACAATAATTTAAAAGGAACGATGTCAAGTTATAGAAGTTAAGGTTGAGACAGAAAAAACAAATGACTATATTTCGTATTTAATTACCATAAACAAATAAAAAAAATCTAAAAAAATCAGTGTCGAAAATTTTCCTCAATGGTAGTTATACGGCCATGTTCCATCCTATTTTATGGTTCTTGATTTGAAATTCTTAAAGTACCAATCAGTAACGTTAGCATATGCCATGCATGACGGTCATGTTTGACATTGTTGACAAATCGGCTTTAAAGTAACAACAAGTTAAATGTAAATATTTTTCTGTGTGTGTCTGTTCGGTAGGGGAAGGGAGATATGAAAATAAACAAATCTTAACGCAGGTTAACACTTGAAACGAATTACGTTTCAGAATTGACAACCAATTGTTTTATTTTGTTGTTTTTTGGGGGAAGGGGGGCAATTTTATTCATTTTGGCAAAGTACTGTTTAACTAAGAGATATCTTTTATTTAATAAAAAGACTCTAGACTTTTATTAATATAAGTGTAATATTTGATATCGTTTAATAATTGTAAAAAGTCGCCGCATTTGACAATGATTTAAACTTTAATAAAAAATTTAAAATAGTATTAATTTTAAAATCAGTTTTGGCCAAAAAGAAACATACAATATCGTCTTCATTAATAGCCCAAAATTACATTAAGTCCTCAAGATTATTCTAATTTGCAAAATAATCAATACGTACACATTTAAGATATCATTTAAATAAGATTAAACTATATTTAGCCAACAAAGAAACCTGATACGGAATATAATTAAGGTGTTGTTTCTCAACAAATCAACGGCATATTTTATGTATTTCAGATGGAAAAGTACATTGTGCATTTGAATTATTTCACCTGTCAGAAATCCAATGACACATCAAAGTCAAGATAATAATGGACGATAAGAATGGTTCAAAACGGAAGGTCATAGATGAACACAATGGCTCGAGAATCCAACCACAGGAGAAAGTATCTTTTTTTGACAGACTGAAGAAGGACGTAGTGTTTCGGCACAAAGTATCTTTATCTGTAGCTTTGTTTTGTATGTTTGCATGCCTGGTATGTATATTTCTTTCCCATTATTTAATTGAAAGTTTTCCGATAAGCCGAGTTTGACCATGTTTTATACCACTTCCTGTGTTTTAGTGGTCTTTATTATATATATATATAGATTCCAAAATACATTTAGTTTTTCCCATACAGACGGGGATTCAGACGGGGTAAAATTATAGTCAACTTTTAGTAAAAATATAGTCCTATATTTCCAAATATTTCTCTTGATTATACCGCCCCCTCCCCCAACATCAAATCCTAGATCCGTGCCTGACATAGGCGACATTATACATGTATATATAGTAGCCTTTTTCGAGATAAAGACTTTAGACTTTTTAGAACCTTGCTAAGATTACAAAAATATAATAGGTCAGAGTTTTTAAGTTAAAAAACTGTAGGTTTCCTTGGCTTTTTGTACATATATCTCCCTATCATATCAATTCTGGACTTTAAAAACAATACGTGCCTCGTCAAAGCGTAGAAAAGGTTTCGTAGTTCCTTTATGACTATGTAAAATATATTATTTTTCCTTTGATATAAGGCGTAGTGCACGGAGTATCTAGTAATAAAAAATATCGGCTGCACACAACGACCAACCTGGATTAGTCATACTCTTAATTACTCTTTATTCTGAATATCATGTTCTTAAAATTTGGTGCATTGTAACCTTTGATGCTAACTGAGGACCTGCCCCAGGGACCGAAGGTAAACATACACGTATTTCAAGACTTCTTAACTTGGTTTTTATTTAATAGTGTAAACTGTATCAGAAAATCTTTATTATATTGTTCAAATCATTTTGATAGAACCGGTCAAGAAATGAATTTTCTCATGTATAATCGTCATATTTATTTAGAAAAAGTTTAATTCAGGTGTCCCCTTAAGTTCTCTTTAAACAGGGATCAAACTCGCCATACACGGACCTGGTCCTGTTTACAAATTAGTTTTTAAGAATTGCAGACGTTCTATGAACACTATCGAATAGCTTACGCAAATCGTGGAGTATTGGTCAAATTGAGCAACCCATCTGCTCGTGCGTATGCGCGTCTACAACCATAGTTAAACGACTTAAACTATTAAACATACAGTGACATAACTTATGGAGATGCAAATTTAAGCCATTAGATGAAGCAATCATGGTTCAATGACTATTATTTAGTTTATAAGCTTCATTACTCATATAAAGTTTTGCATCTCAGTTCAGTTCGCATTCTAAGTGGCCTACAATTGTATAAACTTTAATCAAATTTGTTTGTGTAGGCCTATCAATTCATCTAGAACGTGTACATCGTCCCATAAGGAATAGATAAATCTGAACTACATCTTACGATGCTTCTTCAATGACTTCTATAAAGTTTTATCAAACCAGTTTGTGAACAAGGGGAATTTTTGTTTTATAAATTGAGGAATGCAAATGACTCCGTAATTTCAATACATGTATACGTCCAATTAAACACAACCTATCATAAGTTACATGTCTGTACATATGGTTTTTTTTATTGAACCCCTTCGGATCTATTGAGGGCTAGTACGTTGGCCGAATCCCCTCTGGATTTTACAAACCCTCCGTGCATGGATCAGGTGTCAGTAGCGAACCGTATAACGAATTTATCGCACAGGGGATTTTGTCTGCCAAGTTTTGATCAAACTGTTAAAATTAAACTGAAATACAATAACAATAAAAGTAGACGTGACGCCATATAGCCCCCTCCGAAATCTACGGATCCACATGGGATCACCACGACGACGTGACGGCGATAAACCAATCACATTGATTGTCACTAATTTACCAGAGGTGCGATAATACCGGCTGTCGGTACGGCAGAAGCAATAGATCACACACGTCAAAATCTGCTGCACACGATTGCAAAAAAAGTAGTGCAATGGCAATCGGAAACGCAAACAGATATATCTGCTGTACACGAAGGCTAAATCCGTTGTTTTAAATAACAATCCAAACTATTTGAAGGTCCAAAACCTAAAATAAACGTTGAAGAGCTGATAAAACAAAAAAAGACCGAAAGTAAAGCCAAACCAGAACAACAAATCAGAGCTATGAGGGAGATACACACATGTATTTTGATCTCGGAGCTTCCAACTTCTTTTTCAGATGCATTAGCTTTTTATCTTTTTACATGACTTCTTTTGATCGTAAATATTTTGTTGTATTCTGACAGTACACTGTCTGTATTATTAAAACGAATATTTACTGCTAATAGAAAGGCAACATGCAATCAATCATAGCGATACTAGTATCTAACATATCTCCGATATATACTAGTATTCTTTGTGGTATTCGTTGTGCTCTACGTACCAGATTTGACTTGGAACCGATGTTACATGTATATAGCCATTTCTCCCTTGCCAGTTCTGATGTTGTACTGTTACACCACTATACCAGGTTAGGGGGGGGGGTTGGCGCCGGCAAACATGTTTAACCCCACCACATTTTGCATGTGCCTGTCCCAAGTCAGGAGCCTGAAGTCAGTTGTCAGTTGTCGTCGTTTAAATAATTGCTGTAATTCAAATTTGTTTTCTTTAATTGTTTTGCATTTAAATCAATTAAGCCGTTATAGTTTTCTCGTTTGAATTGTTTTGGTGGAAAGGGTTTATTTATAAGTTGATTTAGCTATCTTTCAGTAACTGTGAGAACTCTTAGATGGGTATTTTAATTGTGTCCTTACATTTGTTGTGATAGGATATTTCCAAATGATTTTTACAGTTTGTTCTTATGTTTTGTTGTTGTCACACCGCTGTTCCAGGTATGGGGAGAGTTGAGTGCTCACAAACATGATTTACCCGCATCACTCTGCATGTGCATGTCCCAAGTCAGGAGCTTGTGTTTCAGTGGTTGTCGTTGATTGCTGTCTATTATAAATCAGGCGGTTGGTTTACTCGTCTGAATTGATTCACATTTTGTCATGTAGGGGCTTTTTATAGCTGATAATTAATACGGTATGGGTTCTACTCATGGTTGAAGGCCGTACAGTGACCTATGGTTGCTTGCACCATGCCATTTGGGCTTTGGTTGATAGTTGCAACGTTGGAATCCTACCACATTTCCTTATCTTTAAGTGTGAAAGGAGAAGATTTGGAAATAATTTTTTTGCAAAGGAGAAGTTATGATCTGCTTGTCAAGCAACTAGTCTTTAGAGGGAGATTTCCTTTATTTTGATGTTCGGTTGCGGTTAATGCTACATGGTTTCATTTTTTTTAAATATGCGATTGAATCACTGGACTGTTACTTTTACAGGGATGGAACGTTAGTCAACTTGGACCTGCCCTACTGGACCTGCAAATCATAACAACAACTAGGTTAGACGAGGCTTCTTATTTCCTAACAGCATTTTCACTTGGATTTCTTGTTGCAGTGTCTGTAGCAGGATGGATATTCAGGAAGATTAATCGAATCATCGTATTAACCGTCTCCACAGTTTGTATCGCCATAGTAACGGTTGTTACACCATGGTGTCGATACTTTGGGCTAATGATTGTTGTATTTGTTGTGCGTGGACTTACACACGGAGTTGCAGATGCAGGTTTGTGGAATCACTTTACTTTTATATGGAAATAATAATGTCGTGTATATATTTTATTTTTGACCGGGGGCAATTATTTCGAAAAGATGTCATAAAGCATTCTTGTAAAGGTCAATTTAGACTCGTGAACTGTCATGAATTTTTTTCAGGAATTCCATTGAGGCCATAAAAGTTTGGTATAGGTATATATCTCCCAGTTGATATGATATTCCAGGGCTTGAGTTTCCTATCATAATTTCCTTGCTAGAGGGTTGCTGCTCACAAGGAAGCTTTTAAACCAAGAGTTCTAAGTGACGAAGATGAAGTCATTCCTTCGAAAAATTTACGGACGCCATCACGAGTTTGTTGACCATTATAGAATATCTGTTTCATAGATGACGATGGATATGTTCCAATCGTCATTACCACAATCCCGTCCTCCTTCTCCCCGAATGTGACCTACCGTATTAGACTTATCACCGGGTTTGTACTTACATGAGCAACACGACAGGATATGCTTACCCAACCTGAGCACCTGAGATCACCCCCGGTTTTTAGTGGGGTTCGTGCTGCTCAGTCTTTAGTTTTCTATTTTGTGTTTTGTGAGCTGTTGTTTGTCTTTTGGTCTTTTTTTTCTTTTTTGTCATAGCGTTGTCAGTTTATGTTCGACTTGAGTTTGAATGTCCCTTTGGTATCTTTCGCCTCTCTTTTATCGATGTCAGTGCGCATGCCACGTATTCATGTAATAAGTAAACCTTCATCATGTTCACTCGAGACTTAAATTTTGTAAGTCACATTCAAGTTATAAACAGCATAAAACACCAAAAGAGCCTTAGCAAAAAGCCACACTAGTCAATGGTCAACTTTGCATGAAGGAGTTGGAATCCGCGCTGGTCGATACAGTCTGAATTAGGAACTTTTATTGTATCACTATTAATTTCAAATTTCTTAATGTTTGCATCAATGAAAAATAAACGTAATAATTTGGAATAGAAAATGGGATGGGACATTCTTTAAAAAACATACCTAGGAGCCTGTTGTTCAGTGGTTGTCGTTTGTTGGTTTGGTTCATAGGTGTTTCTCGTTTCTCGTTTTTTATATAGATTAGACCGTTGGTTTTCCTGTTTGAATTGTTTAACACTAGTCATTTTGGGGCCCTTTATAGCTTGCTGTTCAGTAGGCCGTACTTTGACCTATAATTGTTAACTTTTTTTTACATTGTGACTTGGATGGAGAGTTGTCTCATTGGCACTCATACCACATCTTCTTATTTATACTTATCTAAATGACTTTTTTTGGATTAAAATCCGAACATTTGGATTGTTACCAATTAAACATGAAATAATAACACAAAGCACAATTAAAGCGTAAAGTTGAAACCACTTTTGGTCGCTGCAGATATCGGTGGACTAGTGGTCCCCGAGATACCATCAACTCAGTAGCTATTCAGCTTCGGTATTAAAATTTTAAAAGAAAAAAAATGACTGTATGTTATGACTTTATAAAGTAGTTATTGTACTAAAGCTAAGGTAAAACACGATGGATGGGGTTCGTGTTGCTTAATATTAAGTTTTGTGTGTAATATTTTGATGGCTGTTATTTTCGTCGCTTTTCTTTTGGTCATTGTGTTACCTGTTTTTCTTCGACTTATGCTTTTTTATTTCTCACTTATCCACCTGTTTTCAAACTTCCGCAGGAACAGTTGACCTTAAGACGGATATGACTGGTCCTTTTTTGGTAAATTTGGTAATGATCTTCATAAACTTTTATATGAGCACCCAAACTATTGGTATCGAGCATACACGCTGAATGTTATATCTGAAATACTGTAAATTCAGAAATTATTGCGATGTTTTTATTATTGCGAAAAATGCGACAGGGTTATAATCGCAATAATTTAAACTCGCATTTTGAATTTTTTTATATGAATTAAACAGGATTTTTCTCAATATCGCAAAAATTAAAATCGCATTTTAGTCTAAAATGACAAAATCGCAATAATAAATGCACGCAATAATTTCTGAATTTACAGTACTTTGTTATGCGCACTAACATTATGCTACACGTTTATATCGCTCAGTATCAGCTTTGAAAACCGAAAAACTGATCAGAAATTTCATTTTCCATGGAACCGATTTATTAAAGTCTGAATAAACTCCGATGTGAGTAACGAAAATAAAACTCTTTTTGAGCCTGTTATACTATACGCAATGAGTGCGGGAAACACAGAAAGAAAAAAAAAGACACTCATATCAAGAAATCGGTCGAGTAACCCTAACAAAACGATAAAGGAATTCATATATTTTCTTGCGTAATTTGTTTTAATTCCATACACAAATCATTTAGTACGTATTATAAGAGATACCAATAAAAGACCCAAAGTCTGCCTTTCTATCATTTGTGCTTTATTTATAGCGACATTTATGTTGGTTAGTTGGTTAGAATATCGAACACATTTTAAGAACTAAACTCTCCAAAAACTATTGTGGCTAACTTTGATTACAAGCAGTATAGTTGTTTAAATTAGCAAGTAATAACCAATATGTAAACCAAATATTGAACATGTTTATCACTGTATCATTAGTCAAACTTATATACCTGTAAATGATATTATTTATATTGCAGGAGGTAATATCAATATCTTAAAGATATGGGGTACAGACAGTGGACCATACATGCAGGCTTTGCACTTTTCATTTGCTATTGGAGCAGTTATTTCCCCCCTTGCCATGGCACCTTTCCTCAATTCACAGATTCCTCATGATGATTCAAAGATGACACAAGAGGAATGTTTACGAAATTCAACAATGAATTCAACAAATAATTTCAACTCTTCGGCAGACATATTTATGAAAGTTGATTGTTATCACCAAGAAGTTATTCACAAAGATTCAAATATTCACGGTGCATTTGTCATATCTGCAGGCATAACCCTGGTGTCAGGCTTATTATTCTCATATTTCCTGTTTCATAAAACAAACAGTAACGTAGAGCAGACACAAACGTGTCGCTTAAGCTCGAATTTGCCCAAGTCTATGAGATTGACAACCATTGGTATTGTATGCATTACTTTTTTCTGTGTCCAGGTTTTAGAAAAGTCGATTGTATTTTACCTCACAGCATTTACTGTTGAACATTTCGCCTGGCCAAAAGCGCTAGGGTCGTATGCAACGTCAGCATTCTGGGCTTCCCATGCCTTTGGAAGGTTTACCGCAATAGGTATTACAAAACGATTTAGAATAAGATATATATTCGGACTGTATATCTTTATGCATTGCGTGTGTTCTGTATGTCTGTTAATTACAAATTTGTTGAAACTGGAAATTGGCATTTGGATTTTTATTCCAATTTCAGGATTTTGTCAATCTATTCTTTTTCCTTCACTCATGTGTTGGACTGAACAAGATTTCTTTAAAGTTTCTGGTAAAATGGTATCTTTATTCATGCTAACAGGATCGAGTGGATCAATGCTTACGCCAATTTTTCTTGGATATTTGATAGATTTGTATTCACCAATGTGGTTTTCATATGCAGTGCTCATTTTCAGTATATGTCTGATTATCATATATATTGTTCTCTTTATTCTAGCCCGTAAGATTGAATCACATGGTAAAGAAAATGAACTTTTTATCAATGTTTCATGAAAAAATTGAATAACAATAAATAATATTTGAATGAAAATTAATTGTTAACCATGCAATCAACGTTATCTAAATTTCACCACAATGTGCATACGACATCTTTGACATCTATTATTTCAAAATTGTTTATTTAGCTCATTTATACTACAAAACGAATGTATAATTTTAAATCGCACTCAAGGGAGAGAACCTTCAACTCTCAATCTCTCTAGTTAGAACAATTACTGCTATATGACTTTCTGAAACAACTGGAGAGATAATCTCAGTCTTGGCACCTAAAGGGTTGACGTGCGTAAATAAATATGGTCATTCTTGGACTATTCCCGATCAACAGTAAACTTCTTTCTTAAGTTGGCGTGCGTTTTGATGTGCGGGATGTATAAATGCGCATCCGCATCAGTTAGTAACTTTCACGTTACATCCGATGCTCAATGTAGGATGAGTGCATCTCTCTTCTTCTGAAAGAAAATAATTATATAAAAATAAGAAGATGTGGTATAATTGCCAATGAGGCAACTCTCCACCGGAGACCAAATGACATAGAAGTAAAAAACTATAGGTCACCGTACGGCCTTATACAATGAGCAAAACCCATATCGCATTGTCAGCTATAAAAGGCCCCGAAATGACATATGTAAAACAATTCAAACGAGAAAACTAACGGCCTCAAAATAATGAACCAAAAACAAATATGATACACAGCAACAAACGACAACCACTGAATTACAGGCTCCTGACTTGGGACAGGCACATACAGAATGTGGCGGGGTTAAACTAGTTTGAAGGCGCCAACACTCCCTTAACCTGGGACAGTGGTGTAACAGTACAACATAAGAACACATTATAAAAATCAGTTGAAAAGGCTTAACTCATCAAATCGATACAAAGCAGAAATACATCTAACAATAACACAGAGCGGCCGTAGCAAGGTACTTATACATCTCCACAACAAAAAAGACACTAAGTACAGATCTGAGAGTACTTGCAGTTACTGACAGCTATTTCAAAGCCAATAACAACTAATAAAAAAATCATGCATCTAAGACTAAAATACCAAACAGTATATTAACATTGAGAACCATTCAAAAACACTCTACGGGGTGACATGTTGCAAAGCAAAGTATCTACCTCAATCCCATATACTATCATTTTCCAGAGACTGTCAAACTTTTTTCTCCCATCATTCCGGTTAACTTGCCTTGCAGTACCTACCTATGAAGTTATTGTTTACTTCTTGTTTTCCTGAATATACATGAAATATTTGCCACTGAACGCTAACCAGGCGTCATTTTATCAATCAATCACTCAATTATATCAGACTGATCGAGATCCTTTCATACATTGGATCGTACATCGACTGTACAAACCATGTGCATGGAAGATGAAAATAGTTCATAAGCGATTGATCCACCGTACATCACGCCGATCTTTCCGAGGACTGATGTAAACCCCCAGGGAAAGCCGGCAGCAAGGACCTAAAAATAATAAAAGTAAATGTACGCGAATCTGGAGGTTTGATGAATATTTGACGAAGTCTTTGTAGTAATTGTTCTGACTGTTTATACATACGTTTAAATACTACTAGTATGTGACAAAAACAAATGTTCTCCATGCATCGGATAACCTTGGGCAGAAATATAATATAAAATCATCTGCCTTGGTTTATACTAAACTAACACCAAACATAACATATACTTCGTCCGGAAATAAGCCTATAACAATGATATATCTGCAAATTTGCGTTCAGGATTTGCACCCATGCTTCTATTACATCGTGGCAACACCGCATGCACTGCAATAGTAAATCATGAACAGTTTAAACCCTTAGATAAAGTAGATGAGGAAATAGGCATTACTCGACCAACGGAAACGCCCTAATTGGCGAGTTGGTAATTTGGTTGTTTGCTGAAATCCTTAGTACATCAAGAACTAAAAATGTACTAATTTTCATAAATATAAAATTTGTAAAGGGTTCTGCCAAACTGTGTGTCTTGCCTGTAATTGAAGGAGAAGTGCCGATGACACATACACATCTAGATTTTAACATCTAACAATGTAGTATAACTTTAATGTTGGTATACGATAACCATGTAGGAGGAGTTGTGATGACAAGGTCGGTTCTGTCAAAATTTCTAAGTTGAAAGAGGCATAATTAACAAAAACTCAATGGAAAGAAAATCCAAACCACATGAACATCTACATAATAGGATCTAACCATGCTCAAAGTTTCATGTAGATGCTATGATAAGGTTGGTTCTGAAAATTTCTAAGGTGAAAGAGGCATAATTATATATACACCCAACAGAATAACAATCCTTTCACATGGTAATGTTTGCATACGTGGAATATTTACCTCAACTTAAACAGAAAATAATTAGTAAGTGCAATAGAAATTACAAAATTTGTGATTCAAACTTTATACATAAACAAAGGTATATAGCAGAAGATAGTGAGTTGTTCTCTGAAAATATACGTTTTAGGAAACCCTGTGATTTGTTACTTTTGGATGTTATGTCATCTTTATAAATGTGGACAGATGTTTGTTTTTTCCATTTGAGGTTTAAATGTACTTTGATACCAAGATATTTAGCAAAGGTTACGGTTATGTAGGACGTAGCTATGCTGAATGCACAAGGTCGTGTTTTTCTCTGACTGTTAATGACGTCTTTACACTAAATCCATTGGATGTTGGATGTGTACTGATTAATATTTTAGTCTAAGATACACATAATTTTTTCATAATATAAAAATAAGAAGATGTGGTATGATTGCCAATGAGACAACCCTCCACAAGAGACCAAATGACATAGAAATTAACAACTATAGGTCACCTTACGGTCTTCAACAATGAGCATAGTCAGCTATAAAAGGCCCCGAAATGACACATGTAAACCAATTCAAACGAGAAAAACTAACTGCCTGATTTATGTACAAAATAATATAATATGAAAAACAAATATGATATACAGCAACAAAAGACAACCACTGAGTTACAGGCTCTTGACTTGGGACAGACACATACAGAATGTGGCGGGGTTAAACTAGTTTAAAGGCGCCAACCCTCCCCTAACCTGGGACATAAGAACAAACTATAAAAATCAGTTGAAAGGGGCTTTACTCATCAGATCGATACGAAGCAGAAATACATCTTACAAACACAAAGACCGGACGTAGCAGGATACATCCCCATAACAAAAAAGACACTAAGTACAGATCTGAGTGTACTCGCAGTTACTGACAGCTAGTTCAAAGCCAATAACAACTAATAAAAAATCCTGCATCTAAAACTAAAATATCAATCAGTACACATTAATCATAACACACAAGTTGTTATTGGCTTTGAACTAGGTGTCAGTAACTGCGAGATACTCTCAGATCTACTTTGTGTCTTTTATGTTGTTAGGGATGTACAAATACCCTGCCACGTCCGGTCTTTTGTTAGATGTTTTCTCCTTTGTATCGATCTGACGAGTTAAGTTCTTTTAAACTGATTTTTATAGTTTGTTCTTTTGTTGGGCTGTAACACCACTGTCCCAGTTAGTTTAGGGGAAGTTTGAGCTCTCACAAACACGTTTAACCCGCCAAATTCGTTATGTGCCTGTCCCAAGTCAGGAACCTCATGGGCGGATTCAGGCCGGGGCGTGGCGGGCGTGCGCCCCCCCCCCTAAAATTTGCAAAGCATAGGTTGTCCTCAGCTTAATAAAGAATATTTCGATAATTTTACCTCTAAAAAATTTAAGTTTGCGCCCCTATCCCCCCTCCCCCACCTAAAATCCTTGATCCGCCCCTGAACCTATAATTCAGTGGTTGTCGTTGGTTAATTCATGTCTCTCCTATTTGTTTTTCGTAAATTGTTTTGTTATAAACTAGGCCGTTAGTTTTCTCAAATGAATTGTTTCATATTTTTCATGTCAAGGCCTTTTATAGCCCATTATACGGTATGGGTTTTTTCATTGTTGAAGGCCGTACGATTGCTTATAATTGATTACATCCACTTCATTTTAACTCTGGTAGATATTTGTCTCATTGGCAATCATACCACTTTTTATGATGAATAGGTTGTTTCTTTTTTGTGAATATTATATGTATTAGCAGTGTACATTTGTCTGGATGAAAACTTAAAGCCATACCTTTGTATTCAGTATGGTTGACTTTAAAAATACGCGCCAATATAACATATTATAACCTTAGGACTATCAAGTTTACGTCCGGCGAAAATTTACAGACCACATGTACACTTGCTTGACAACACCCGTAAGTTAATTAACTTAAGCTGTATATTTCAATTTAAAATATACTTATCGTTAATTGTAAAATTTTCCTGAGTGGAAGTCTGCACATGACGTTTAAGAAAGCAATTATCGGAGCATATAAATGCATTCACATAAAGGGAGGCAATTCGATTATTTTGATATTTTTTATAGAAGACATAGTACTAGACTTGTCCACCTGCGTGTCAATTTTTGACAAGCAAACGCAATATATAAAAACCACATTACTAATATTTACTTTTGTTCATAGACGAAACATACCTAAGTTTAAAGACAGATTATCAAAACCTGTTCCCGTTTGTTTTTGTAGTCAAGTACTATCATGTGACTATATATTGTACCCATTTATACACATAGATTTACATTTAAAACAAGTAAGTGTATCTTCAAAGGTAAAAACAGATACTAGTACTTCACTTGGTATATATCGCATGTGCATACAATAATTTCGACAAACTATTTTCCAGTTTGAAAAAAGAAAGAAGTTATAATACACTATTTTCTTCCGAAAATGCCTGTACCAATTATAAGTCCAGAACTCGACATTTGTTCCATTCGTTCTGTTGCCTTTACTGAAAAATCTGTCGCCTGCAAACATTTAATGTGCATTTGCAGAAAGCACAAGAATAATTTAAAATATAATCTGTATTTGCTGCACGTTTGCAGCAAAATTTTAATGTGCTTGCAAGTCTGCCGCAAACAATTTATTATGCAAATGAGTGTTTGCTGCAAACCTGCAGCTAACATTTAAATTCAAATGAGTGTTTGCTGCAGACCAATATCATTTTGTCTACACATGTTTTTCAAACCTAAGGTATTTGTGGAGGTGACGAATGAGTATTGTCATAAGTTTACATTTCTACGAATAAATTGTACTTAGTTACAAATAATTAAAACTACACATTTAATATCAAATAACTTAAGGAACCTACAATGCCCCCCCCCCCCCCCCCCCTGGACTGTCAGATAATACATTACTCAAACTCGATCAACATGATCAAGCACCAAATTTCAAGTTTTTGACTTCCAGGAAGTTACCAGTAGGCATGATCATTCATTTTATGTGATTCTTGCAATGATCTTGCAAACATAAGAATGGTCAAAGATTTCTGCAAGCTATAGCTGGGAACATCCCAAATATTCTCATTTTTCTTGCAATCTTAATGCAAACATGCATCAAAAAGCTGCAATGCTTGCAGGTGGTTTGCAGCTAGCTGCAGATATCTGCGAACATTATTTTCATGTTTTCTGCAAACATTTCAATTCTGTAAGGGTTCAATGGGTGATATAAAAGATCGTTTGGTTTTGTCAGGTTTTATGGACTTTCCCCTTTTTGAATTTACATTTGAGTTTGGTATTTTTGTTAATACTTTTTATTGCGTTACACTTTGTTTGCTTCTTTTGTACTTTTCTGTCACTTTCTGGTATATACAGTCTTTTTACATATTCGTTCACATGATTGTCTATTGTCAAAACATATTTGGATCATACTATTAACATCATTGCAGGTTAAACATAAGAACTTAACATGACGAAGATCTTGGTAACAGGGGGAAGTGGATGTGTTGGCCAGCACATAATCAAACACTTCCAGGAATATGTAAAGGGCATTGAAGAAATCAGAGTTCTAGATCTTCAGAAATTTGAGCAGAAGTTAGGTTTGTGTACTAAATTGAACAGGTACTACATAAAATGAACATCTGCAAATTCAACACAGTCTTCGTCGAAAAAATATATATACATTACATAAAGTTTTAAAATATGACATTAGTACTGACACAAGTCATTATTCATACAGTGATAACAATGTGTCAATTATATCTTATTCTTGTGTTGCTATCACACGCTAACCGGGTATTCAGTCCTTTTTACTCTTTGGTTGAATCAAAACGACTCAAAGAATACATGTCACGATAAGAACCTCGAAATAGAGTCGGTATTAACAGTCAAAACGCGAATAACCCATAGGATTAAAAAAAAATCCGAAACGTCATGTTTGCATGCATAATCAGGACGAGAATAAATTTAACAATGAACCAAATGTGTATGTCGATGTTAGAACGAAGGGCTGGAAATGTAGACTTCTTCATGAAAAGGATGGTCGGATAGATAACAGAAATTTTGGTCTGCAACAGGTCACCTACGCAAAACCTCAGAGATTGTTACAGCTGGAGAAATTCTGAATGTGAAAAGCCAAAAAAGCTTTTCTGTGGTTCAATAGTCTGCTTTCCATTTTTCATTTTTTATGCCATTTCCTTTTACGAGAAATCGTCGATTTAAGGTCCCTTTTCCGACCAGACATTTTTGTGTATTAATAAATCCCGCACAGCTAAACACGAACGGTGAAGGCATTGGAGTTGTAAACATACCCTTTAGACGGAAAAACTGTAAGCTCTTTACCCTTGGTCAAACTTTGGAATCCCGCCAAGCGAGACTATCTGGAGTAATAACATGTTTTGTGTTAATTCCAACATCAATATATATTTAAAACATAACAGCCATGAGACAGCTAGCAAGCTAGCCTTTTAGAAAAATAATTTTAATACTTGCAACTACTTAATTTGCCTGATATATTGGCAAATACATCTAAATAAATTCATTGAGGGGTGCTAATAAATTATCAGTGAACATCAGTACATCGGAAAGACGACAGATGCCGAAAGCTAGGAAATGACACGAAACTAAGTATAAAAATTTCTGACTTCTGCAGAATATGAGAACAAGATACCAGTCGTATGCTCCACTGGTAGTATAACAGATGTTGATTTATTGGGCAAGGTCACTAGAGACGTTCAATGTGTTATACATACGGCTGCTTACGTTGATGTAAGATTATTTCCAGATAAAGAAAAACTCGACATAGTCAATAGAAAAGGTATGTACAGAAAACAGAGCTTCGCTATAATTTATTGAGGTTCTTTTGTTTCGCCTAGGCCGAGTTCACTTGAAACTCTAGAATCGATTCACAAGAGTATCACATGAACGCACTAGAGTTGCTATTCGGAACAACTGTAACTCTAGGGTAAGGCCCTGCATGACCAACAGTACTGCAAGCATAAAAAAATGAAATAATCTCATTGGATTGACGTCATTCAAGGGTTTCTCGAGTTTAACCCTGGCTCGGTGAGGGTTGGAACCAGGGTACGAGGGGTTAACTCGAGTGGTTCAAGTAATCACGGATTGTTGAAACCCGAGTAAGTAAAGTTAACTCTAGAGGTTCAAGTGAACTCGGCCCTAGAGGTGAATTCATGGGGACAGAGAACATACAATATTTTCTCTCTGTCCTGTAAAATGATAATACAAATCCTTTTCTGTTTGCTTAAAGTCATATGAAACGAGTTTCTGGTAATTCTAATGTTAAGGAAGTTATTGAACCAATGCATGCATATATAGTTACTTAAGTCCTCTGTTCACGTTTTTTTTAAACATTTATTACGAATCCATAACGTTTAATAGACAAAAATTATAGTCCATTCTGTGATTATTGATCGAAAACTTCGGCATATTAATAAACTTTCGGGCTTTGATGTCGAAGTTTACCAATCGTTACCTTTTGATAAACAATCAACACAGAATGATGGAGCACATGAAAAAATAAGTGAGATGATAGAGGGATTTATATTTGTTTTTTTTTTTTTCCATCCATGCGTTCCCATTTGTTAGTTAAACTTTGCCATAACAGTTGGTATATGATTTGGTGTTTTTGAAAATTTTCTTTCAGAATCGATTAATACTATCTTGCTTTCACGTTTGTTTACTTTTTCTTTCATCACAGTTTTCCCCTCTCACTTGCGCTGTGTGATTGGCGAACTAATAACGAAATGTGTCATGATTAAGGTCACTGCATTCAGAATAGCTGTCGGCGAAAAGACAACAATTAAATAGCAGTACATTTCTGAAGATTTGGATAAAATAAAGGATTTTCTTTTAAAAGAAATGTACACGTGTTTTGCAGTAAAACTTAACTTTTCAAGTATAAAATAAAATCGCCTTTTTTGTGAAATTTGAAGTATCACATAACTTTAATATCGGCAAACTTGTAAAACATTTAATTATATGATTTCCCTTCAATTATATGAAAACATGACTTTCCTTGAATCGCCTTCCCTTCAGTAAGACCATTTTATTGGTATTGCGTCTTCTTTAGACAAAATCCCTACATGGATTCCTAAAATTTTCATTACACAGATGACCTTTATAATTATTTCATGTAGAGTACATATATATGATTTCTCTTTATGAAGGGACGAAACTATTATTGGAAGCTTGCTATCAGAACAAAGTCGAGATGTTTATCCATTGTAGTACTGTTGACGTTATGCAAGGATATCATGATATAGTCAAAGGTAACGAAGCAAATACAAAGCCAGAAAAATTACTTTTTGGTGAATATGCCAGGACAAAACAAGCAGGAGAAAGAGCCGTTCTGAGTATGAACAACAAATTCCTTTCAAACGGTATGTGAATTAAATTGTAAAAAGTGTTCTGTTGCCATAGGCACGGATTAGAGATCCGAAACACTGAGTTTAGTTCAAGTTGAATTATCTGAGTTAAAGTAATACTTTGAGTCAAAGATCGAGTTTAAGTTAGATTTGAACTTAACATTACATCGAGTTTGAATTCACATTTGATTAATCTTGCGACTAAAGTGAAGTGCACAATTTTAATTTTATTTTACTGAAGAAGATTTTTTTAAGCGGTTTCAAAATTTGGTCAAAGCCTTAGAGACGTCGCAAGATACTGATGTTACTTCGAAAAAACGTCCTCTCCCTATTCTAAAACATGTTTCAGTATTAATATAAAAATGTACTGCTAACATGCGATATATCAAAATAAAGCTTATTTTAATATTTTTTTTTAATATTGCAAGTTTTATGCAGTGCGATGATGAATTTATGAGAAATAATAGTCAAAAGTAAAATTGTGATTTGTGTCCTGTCCCGCGTTACATTTTTGCATGATACTGTTCGACATAAAACGAGTGTAATGGATTCTTTTTTCAGCGAAAAGCTCCAATTGTTTCCCCGTTCATAAACTCTATAACACCTTCATAACGCAATATATGTTTTTCTTTCACAGGCGGTCGGAGTGAAAAATACGGGAATCAGATGACGCACGAGGTCTGCTCTGCATCAGTTAATTTTGCGAAATTTAACGTTATATTAGATTTAGAGATAAAATTTCTAAATAAAAAATTATCGCAAGTAGGATGTTTTAATACCAGCAAAATGTACATCTACTGTACTTTTTCTCACTTTGAAAATTCAAACGAAACTCGTGCGTGTTACGATATTTGTATTAAATATATATAGATGTCCAAGGAATTGTCCCCTTAACACAAAATGTACGTTGCTGTGTTACATGTGTATTCTCAGTGCCAGAAAACTTGCATTCAACAAGGTATATTATTCGCACAAGACTTACAGTACAAATACTCAAGTACGTATTGGTACATATATGTTGACAGTGCGCTACAGGACACAAAAGATATTAACAAACAGTTGTGTCCAATCCAATGTCCCCCCGAGCTCATTTGTAACGTTTTGAACGTCGAGACGCTTGAATGCCACATTATACATGAAGCACTGGTGTTAATACAAATACATGATTTACAAACAACTTCCTAAGTTTAGAAAAAATAAAACAATGACTCCACTCGTGAAACCATTTTCATGTTTTACATGTGATGTTTGTGTCGAACAGCCGCGGGCTATGCTTAAATCAAGTCAGAGTTGGTATAATTCGTATTCACACCACAGAAAGATGTAAAGTTGTAACAAGTGAAACTTCTGTGTCATTTGGTCTCTGGTGGATAGTTGTCTCATTTGCAATCATACCACATCTTCTCATTTTTAAAAAACGGCCATTAAACCTGGTGCATCGGTTGCTTTTAGCTGTTCCGAAATTTTACCAGTGTCATATCGTTTAGACATTTTAGAAAGTATCACTGACTACATGTAGATCATAACCAAAGTCTGTTAATAGCGCATCATGCTTCAAATATTATACAATTACTTTATATAGAGAAAGAAACGTTAAATAAATGCTCTGCAGAAAATCTGTTCTAAACGTTTCTTCAAAATCAAAAACGTCGTAAGCTTGTTACGGTAAGTGGCACCAGTATCTTGCGACGTCTCACAGCATACGCGGTCGTCTGCGTATGTGAAATCAAATTGAATCCATCTCTGACAGTTTAAACCAAACATGACACAACTTTGGGTGTCTGATTTTACTCTTATATCCGATGTTCGCCGATAAACCAACATGGTCATCCTTTTTGTAATTACAGTTGGGTTAAATGGGAAATATGGTAGCTGTTTATGAATCAATAATGAATACTTAGCCGATTTATTTTATGGTTGTGTTATAATATGAAAGTAAGAAGATGTGGTATGATTGCCAATGAGACAACTCTCCACCAGAGACCAAATCACGTATAAGGTAAGCAACTATAGGTCACTGTAAGGCATTCAACAATGAGCAAAACCTATACATAAAATTGAGAATGGAAATGGGGAATGTGTCAAAGAGACAACAACCCGACCATAGAACAGACAACAGCAGAAGGTCACCAACAGGTCTTCAATGCAGCGAGAAATTCCCGCACCCGGAGGCGTCCTTCACCTGGCCTTAAACAAATATATATACTAGTTCAGTGATAATGAACGCCATACTAAACTCCAAATTGTACACAAGAAACTAAAATTAAAAATAATACAAGACTAACAAAGGCTAGAGGCTCCTGACTTGGGACAGGCGCAAAAATGCGGCGGGGTTAAACATGTTTATGAGATCTCAACCCTCCCCCTATACCTCTAGCCAATGTAGAAAAGTAAACGCATAACAATACGCACATTAAAATTCAGTTCAAGAAAAGTCCGAGTCTGATGTCAGAAGATGTAACCAAAGAAAATAAACAAATGACAATAATACATAAATAACAACAGACTACTAGCAGTTAACTGACATGCCAGCTCCAGACTTCAATTAAACTGATTGAAAGATTATGTCTTCATCATATGAATATCAGGCACAATCCTTTCAGCATAGCAAGCTATAAAAGGCTCAGAAATGACAAATGTAAAACAATTCAAACGAGAAAACTAACGGCCTGATTTATGTAAAAAACGAAAAGCGAAAAAAAAATCTATGATAAACAGATTATAAGTTGTTTCAGATTACATATGAGATTCATTTTGAATTGACGTACTTTTGATTGAATTACATTCTTCGATAGGAAAATTTCTTTAAAACTGCAGTTTTTTTGTGCGTTTTCAGAGGTGTTTGCTGACTGACAGTAAGCTGCATTTTGGCATGCACTTTTATTTGTAGATTTTTCCTTAAATTTTGTAAACAGCTTTGTACATATGTGAATGTCTTTACAGGTGGTGTATTTAGAACGATTTCTTTGCGACCAATGGTAATTTATGGAGAGCTCGATCAACATTTTATACCTAACGCTATAGAAGCTGGACTACAAAACAAAAAAATCATGGTTGATTTTTGTGGCAATGGAGCGTGTTGTCTTGTTTACGTCGGAAATGTAGCTTGGGCTTTTGTATGTGCTTATAACGCAATGAGGTCAGATAAAACGCTTGGAGGAGAAGAATTTCTTATTAAAGATAACAGTCCTAATAAATCAATGATCCAGTTTTGTAAACCATACTTTGATTCGTTCCATATTTCATTGTATCGGTCATTTATTCCTTATTGGATTTTATATGTTTTTATAAGTTTTATACAAATTTTACTGCTTTTAATTTCGCCATTGATGAAAGTGCAATTTCCATTAACCACAACAACATTACTATATACGAATTTAGCGCTGTCTTTTGACGATTCAAAAGCTAGGAAAATGTTGCAGTATAAACCTTTGTACTCTCCCGTAGACAGTTACAAATGTTCACTTAAGTATTATAATTCACTTAGCTTTGATAATAAAAAGAAAAATTAGTTATTTTGTTCGTCTAATATATTTTTATATTAAGTAATGGACACAAATCAAATTGTCAATAAATAAATTGCACCAAACAAATGAAAACAAATAAAAATGATAGAACGTAAAGTTGTAAAAAGTATACCCCACTCGCTTCCAAAATAAACTACCACAGTATCACATCTACACCAAATACGAAATACACAAGACAAGAAAACATTCACGAAAAATTCCATGCTCCATGGGATAGATAAAACTTCGAAATATCGTCAAAAAGGAAGTGATTTTTATCATGAATGTCGAGAAAATGGGGTTTGATCACTCATGGCGATACTCAATAACATACATTGAACAATTCGTGTACTTAGAAAACAGTTGCTTTGCAAGCACGTTTGTAATGTTCAGTTCTCAAGTATCGTCTTTGAATTTGGGGGTAACAAGTATTACGTCATTCCTTTTTTTTAAGAATTATATTACGAATGAACAGTTTGAGTGTTAAACTGCATAATCTTGTGTATCCAATAATCCAAATGGATACTGTTGTCTAAGAATAATTGAAAAATCAAGGTAAATATTTTTTTTTAAACTGAGGAAATCCCATGAAGCGACTGGGTGCGTCGATGTGTACAGAATTTCGTGCTGAATGTGTTCGAAGCCAGGACATTTTGTTATAGTGTGGATTCGCAACCGTCTCAATCTTTAAAGAGTTAATGCGAATATCACGTGTTTTTGATTTTTTTTGTCCACTCATTTGTATATTCTGAATAAAATTGAGAATGGAAATGGGGAATGTGTCAAAGAGACAACAACCCGACCAAAAGCAGAAAACAGCCCAAGGCCACCAATGGGTCTTCAACACAGCGAGAAAATCCCGCACCCGGAGGCGGGCTTCAGCTGGCCCCTAAAAAAATGTAATTCCGACTAATTTATTAGATTTAAACAACAGTATGCCTCTAAGTTGAATAAAAAAAATATGGCCATGACGAGAAACTTTTGGCATTTTCCGGACCTAAGCCATGATTTGGTAAATACGAGAGGACGGGCACGTTATTGAGTAATAATTACATTAACCTAACAAGTAAGACGTTCATGGAATATACTTATCAAGTTAAAATATATACCTAACTTACAAACGGCACACAATTCAATGTTTACATACTTAATGTAGGTCATAATAATATGTAAATTTAAAAAAAAACTTTAACTGTTTAAGAACTGATAATGAGAATTCATATACAAATTATTTATGGTTGTTGTCTGTTATAAGAGATGAAATCAGTACATTTTAAAGGGACTCAACATGATATTTCCGAATGATTTATTTGTAGTTGCATAATTGAGATTATATTCTCGCGGAAACTTCCTTCTTTTACTCTTAACCCAGTTTCCTTGTATATGTCTAATTTTATATCCTTTTCACGGCCCATCTTGTTACCATGCACATTGCATGCAAAGGACTCTGCTTAAAACATCAGCATCTTATGTTCGACTTTAGGTCTATGTCGTATCTCAATATCATATTCAGTATTATAGATACAATGAATAAGCGTTGATTCTTGAAAAAGAAACCATGAGCGCTTATTCATTGTATCTCTAACTTAAACTATTGTGTTGATGTCTTTTCAAAATTAAAGCCTTTTTTTAATTAGAAGGTATTGTTAGTGAGTTTAAATAACCATGTTATCATGTTCAACGATGCATTAATAAATCTAAGGTCACAATAAATTGGTTAGAGAAATACAAATATAACATAACACGTCTGTCTTTAAATTATCAGGCATCTGAATATCCTCCGTAATTTACAAAATAAGACATATTCGATTTTATTTCTAAATACATATAATAAGTATGCTACCGAAATTTCTATCAAGAATCCTAATTCTAGACACATCATGATTTACTCGCATAGAGATTTGCGAATAAACATTTGTAAAGATATGTAGTAAAACAGATGCAAGCATTCTATATTTATAAAACAAAAATGGACAAATTGAATGTAATCATTTTCTTTTCAATTATGTGAAATAGCCAATAATAATTCAAAATTAAACGGGAAAACCCGCTATTATTACAAAAATATCAACAGTAACATACAAATTAAGAAAAACGGAAAAACTAAAGAATAGGGACAACAAAGAGAATACAGGGATTCGAACCTAAACCGAAAAGTCTCTACCTTTAACTTGACTCTTTAACTCATTGATATTAACCATGTTAACCTCGCGGCTACCAACTTATACTATACGATTGTCTATTATGTATACATAAAGGTACAAGCCCTGTGTGTCAGTTTTACTGATGTGTATCATTTGTTCATTTATATATATAAACTAGACATTTAAATTGCAATCCATTGGTAGCCGAGAGGTTTCGTCGATGTGTTGATGTCAGACACGCATAACAGATTGCAAGGAGGGGTTCGATTCCCAGTGAAGGCATATAAAACTTACAAAAATTAAAGTTAAGTTTTTAAATTAATTCCATTAATGAACAGAAATCAGTAAATTGGCCAATTCAAACTTAATGAAACTAGGCCAACAAAGGAAACAATTGAATATAATTTGGTGAGTCCATTTAAGCGACAGATTTAGGAAGCGTTGATTCTAGAAAAAGAATCAACGGTACATGAATAGGCTGACGTCACGACAATGGTTTAACTCAGTATCTCTAACCACCAGGCTAATTGTCCCTCTGAGATTGCAATCACAGTAGCCATTTTAAGAAATTGTGATTATTCGAACAATACAAGTTACTCAAAACAAATAATATCTGAAGTGCCTAGGTAATTAAGATTTATGTGACGTGATATTTCCTTTTGTACTTAGAAAACAAGCTATAACAATTTATAACTTTCTGCATATCTAGTTGTGATAACACATGCAGCCCCTATAGATTTTGTCCTTGCTTCACTGTTAACGAAAATGAATGATTTTTAATCAGGATTTGCCAAAATTACAGATATGGTCAATTTTGATTTTAAATTTTCAAAACTGAAAAAAATGTATTTGTTCAAGTATGCAAACATATCATTACCCTAAATTAATATAAATCTCTTCCACATGACAATGCAGTCTTGTGTTCGTGTTCTTCTGTATCTAAGTCCAGGGTAGTATGCCATGAACCTCCTGATTACTAATCAAGTGAGTCATCGATTTGCGGAAGAGGATATGCATCTTTTAAAGTGATGCTGTTAAGTCTCTCATAGTCTACACATAATAGCTGACTAAAAACACAACTACAAACAAAACAATACTAAACAAACCCGTATCGAAGAATGCTCGTATTTCACCAAACATAACCTACTGATATACACGAAGATACGATCTTCTACACATGGCCAAAAACAAACCGGTATGGATGCCGAAAACCTACAGAAACATTTTAGTTTTGATTTCAATTATTAAAGAGCGATTTGATGTTCATCGCAAAACAACATATACCAGGATGTAGCAATAATTAAACAACAACAGTAAAATTTAGTAACAGTAGTCCATTAAGCTAAAAAAAAAGATTTAAGGACAGTTCATAAACTTGTTAGTTTTACAAATGGTATTGTCGTAAATTGTTGGATGTGAAATGCCACTTTTTATTAATTTCCTACAATTAAGTGAAAACAGACATCCACAATAAATCTCTATATTTATTACAATTTACTGATTAATATTGTGAGGTCAAAGTTGTGCTTTTCTTTGTTTTTGTTTTGTTTTTGTTTTTATTTCTGAGGGTAAAATAAAAACACACGAAAATATTTCAGATAATTTTTTGAAATATTAAACATAGGGTTTTGGGGGACATTTGAACCTTTGTCGGTTGCGACCAAAATTTTACGACAAAAACAGACAATTTCAGCTTCCCGATTGTGAAATTTTCATTTCTATATAGCAACATTATATGCGTGCCTAGTTAAATATTATAAATGTTTTTTTTTATTGAAGTGTGTGTGTTTTCCTGTCCACAGTGGATGGCTTGTAAGTTGGGGAGGGTTTGGCGTCAGCAAACTAGTTTAACCCCGCCACATTCTGTATGTGCCTGTCCCAAAAGAGAGGCGAAGGATACCAAAGGAACATTCAAACTCATAAGTCGAAAATAAGCTGACAACGCCATGGCTAAAAAAGAAAAAGACAAACAGACAGACAACAGTACACAAAACAACATTAAAACTAAAGACTGAGCAACACGAACCCCACCAAAAACTGGGGTGATCTCAGGTGCTCCGGAAGGGTAAGCATATCCTGCTCCACATGTGGCACCCGTCGTGTTGCTCATGTAAGTACAAACCCGGTGATATGTTTTAATTCGGCGGGTCACATTCGGGGGAAGGGGACGAGATTGTAGTTACGACAATTGGAACATTTTCGTCGTCATCTGTGAAACAGATATTCCATAACGGTCAACCAACTCGTGATGGCGTCCGTAAAATTTACGAAGGGATGATTTCAACTTCACCACTTGGAACTCTTGGTTTTATAGCTTCCTTGTGAGTCAGGAGCCTGTAATTCAGTGGTTGTCGTTTGTTGTTGTATATCATATTTGTTTTTCGTTCATTATTTTGTACATAAAGCAGGCCGTTAGTTTTCTCGTTTGAATTGTTTTACATTTGTCATTTCGGGGCCTTTTATAGCTGACTATGCGGTATGGGTTCTACTCATTGTTGAAAGCCGTACGGTGACCTATAGTTGTTAATTTATATGTCATTTGGTCTATTGTGGAGAGTTGTCTCATTAGCAATCATACCACATCTTCTTCTTTGTATATATAGTTGCTAATATCTACATCATTGGGTCATACCACATCTCTTTACTTTATATAAAAAGAAATGTAAATTATAGCTTAACTTTATCAGGGCCAAATTAATGACCCCTGTACATTCCTTCTTAAATAATCGAGATTTTCTTTAAACAATCAATCATGTGAACAGTAACCGTTGTCTTTAGTTTCATGAAATTACCAAGACGAGTTTTGATAAAACTTGCAAAAGGAACGACTTGTCCTTCTTAATTTTTTTTAATTTTCATTTC